TATCGGCCAGCCTAGGGCTCAGATTTTTCGCCACCCAAGGACTTGGACAGTCACCGTCACTGTATTGCCAAAGTACTTCTGCAGCTCAGGGTCTGACCTTTGAGGTTGAGGTTCTAGATAGGTTTACCCTTAGGCTCCTTGGTAGTTCCTTTTTGTGGTTGGTTTTTGGGAGCCTATGGGTAGAGTTGAGAGTACCACTTCGGGCAACCGTTGGGAAGGTGTTCAGGCATTTAAATCGTGATTCGGAAGTGATTCCGATGAGAGTGATTCTGCAGTGATCACAACTCCGGCCGACCGTGCATCAGGAGTCGCAAACTCGGGAGTGATTCCGGAGGATTGTCATGGGATAAGGTAGGAGTGATTTTCTAGTGATCTGACCGTGCAGCAGGTTCATGATCCAGCATAACCAACAGCCGAACGATGTCACTGGTTTCGCAACTCAATAGAAAGCCGGAAGCTGTCTAAATCGCTCCGGTCAATCACTCCACGATCAATCCGGAATTCGAATAAATCGCTCCGAAATCACTTTCACCGACGGAGGGGGTTGGCCCGAGCCGCTCCCCACTTACTTGAATCAGTCCTAAATCACTTCCAAATCCATGCAGCCATTGCAAGTCCTATCAGGGAACTAGGCGGGTTAAGTTTGGGGTGTGGGGTTGGGGTCCCAGAATTAATAAGGGAACACTCAATCTGGATCGGTGCGTAAGCGGCCACTGAGGTCCTGGCAGCCCTCACGGTGACCATGTGAGCAGAGGCTCTGTGCGAAAGAGGCCTCAGCATCCCTGAGCCGCCGGGTTCCTGGGTCTGTGAAGGTTGCTATAAGGGTTCTATAAGGCTTACTATAAGGGTTTAGGGTTTAGGGGCTATGCGGGTTCTGAAAGGCTTACTATTGGGGTTCTCTAAGGTTTATGATGCAGGTTCTTCATAACGGTTCTATGCAGTAGAAGGGTTACCATCAGATCCGGGCTCATGCATCCAGCAACTGCCTGGGTCTTGAGACGTGCCTAGAATCAAGAAGGTTCTTTTCTTGCCAAAGGCATCAGAAGATGTTGCACGTCGGTGGAGAAAGCGGTGGCAAACTATATGGTAGGGTTTGTATCCTGCGGTTGCAATCCCAACCCTAAACCCTAAGCCGAAAACCCCCCAAAATCTGGAAATTATGGACGGTGCCGAGTCTCCACGTTCTTTCGCAAAAGGCCTCGAGTCAGAGAAAGTCTGCTGGATTAGGGTTGAGGGTTCAGGGTTCAACTTTCAGGCCCTTTTTGCTCAGACATGCCCGAAAATCACTGTCAGCCAGAGCAGCAGTAGGTTCTAGCATCCTCGAGAAAAATTGATGATAAGAAAGAGCACGGTTTGATTTCAGTTCTTTCGCCGATGCTAGACAAAGTAAAGCTCAGCTCAGACAAGTATCGCTACGACTCCCAGCGTCGGCAGGCGGAAATCGCAGTCCCAGAGCAAACCAGCTGAAGGCCCTCCCACGGTTCTATAGCTCCTCAATGGGGTGGGCGTGTAGGACAGACATGCCCTAAGGCTCCATGTGCTCATATAGTATACACTTAGACCCTAAAGTACCTATATAGGAATCCCTTTAAGGCCTAAGTATATACTATAAGGGCACATGGAGCCTTTGGGATAGAGGATCTCACTCCTCCGCGATCTTCCGCGTCTTAGCTTGGGAGGTGTCGGTGTCCATTCGCCTCTGAAACTCCCAAGTCGGTTCGAAGCCATGCGGCGGATGAGCATGCTTGCTGCACAGAGGCGGAACCCGAAAACATTCGTCCAATTGTCGCTGATTTCTAGGGTATCCTCTAACCCTAGCTACCAGCAGGGGGTTAAGAGCCCCCAGACGGTCTTTGGGCCTTGGTATCATACTTTCTAAAGATTCCCAGGTCCGTTTGGACCTGAAAGGTCACACCTCAAACTTCAAACTCTAGATCTAAACCCTATAGGCCTTATGTGAAACGGGGGTGCCATCACAAGGGGAAGCAGAGGATGGAGGATTTAGGGTTTAAATGTGTGGGTTTAGGGATTTAGGTTTATTGAGCCTCCCAGCCCCCCGAGCCTGAAAGCGACCTTGAACCTAAGTTGTGGATTTTTGACTCTTATACAGGCTAAACACCGGAGCCAGCGAGCGAGAAGTCTGATGGCAGTTTGCCCCTCTCACAGAAACTGGAATATCTACAGCATGTTCAGCGTGGATGTGCCCTCGTCCGATGTCTCAATGAGGCGTGTACATGGTATGCAGTTACTACAAATCCCACGGATCGACTGCGCTTTGGTGGAGGACCTGTTGGTGCTCGATCTCTTGTGAGAGCGGTTGAATCAAGTGCCTATCTCAGAGCCTTTGGGGGGGAACATGTGGGATCCGATCATCTTGCTCTATCTTGCTCTCCAATGGCATCCTTGTCGCAACTTGTGGCACCCTGACGTAGTAGCAACGGTGCCCGGCCCGCCAACGTTGTGAACCCTCATCATCATATCATAGGTCACAAGGAAACTGGGACCCAACCGTATAGATGGGGGGGGGTGAGAATCCACGCACTGTCCTGTTTTGCGCGCCACCCTTAGACAGTCTCCATCTGCAGCACCGCCACTTGCACTCTGGAGGGGCCCCGGCAGAAAAGAACGACTCTCAGGAAGTTTGAGTCCGGCGTGAGAAGCGGCAGAGCTCCGGTGACCCGAGCTGTGCACCAAATTCTGCGCAGGTGCCATCTTGATGGTGGCCAGTATACTCACCTCTCAGAAGGCCACAGTTGAAACACACATCACCCACCCTAGACCTCAACCCGAAAAAAAGACCTTCAAAACCCAGTTAAACTCTATCAAATTTCAAAGTAATTATCAAAAAACCGAACTGACTTCGATGCCACCCTGAAACCCCATGTCAAAAACCCCCGAGCGCTAAGAGCGCCCTTCAAGCCCTGCAGGGTCGCGTGGTGCCCTCCCTGCCGCCGTGCCAAAGCCTCCATGGTGGCGGAGCCCGGGCCTAAGCCTCCGCGCATACTGGGGCTTAGGGGGTTTAGGGTTTCAAGTTGTTAATGGGTTCGGGACTTAGGGATGAGGGTTAAGGCTTAGGCTTTCGGGTTTACTGGGTTTAGGGATTTAGGGCAACTTATAAGGATATCGGGATCTAGTTTAGGGGTTGGGGTTTAGGGTTTCGGCGTTTAGGCTCTGCAGATTGTTTCTGAGGCTTTGTCGATTCTGCTTAAGCCCCAAGCCCTCAACCTTTCAACCCTAAACCCTCTGGATTTAGAATCATGGACTGGGAAAGGGCTCCCGGACCGTTTCGCTTTCGGCGTGGGGGGACTCTTAGCCCTGCAAGACTCAAATGCACCTAGGCACCTGGCGCGCATCCTGCCCCCTGTCGCGGCAAGATGCAAAGAGGCGAACTTATGTTCGCTTGTGTTCTTGGTTTTGAGACCTTTTTGTCTTACAGCCCTGTCTAGGTGCCTTACCTAGAGGGTCCATATATACGACCATTATGGAACTAGGTCCCCAAAACCATTATAAGGATGGTCTTTTGGGGCCCAATTCCACAATGGCAGTGTATATGGACCCTTCTGGGTTATCGTTCCCAGAATGCTCTTGGGCATTTCGCGCAACAGTCCAGGTGCTTTCGGGTCCAATGCTCTCGTGCGACACGGTTGCTATGTCAAGTTAACCCTAACTCCCCAGGTACCTACTATATAGAGTACTAGGGCCCCCACGGCCCTATATAGTAGGTACCTGGGAGGTTAGGGTAAACATTGCCAGAGCTAAACCCCAAAAACCCTAAACCCTAGACCCTAAACCCCTAAACCTGGACCGCAGCAAGGCCCTCCGCAAAGGAAGGGATTTCGAGCAGAAGCGGGGGGCCTGGGGCCCTGGGGGTAGGGTAGAAAGGGCTTTCGCCTAAGCATTCGGATGGAGGTTAAGGTTTAGGGGTTAAGGGTTTAGGGCTGTGGGGATTTTTTTGTGCCGAAACTGTAACGCTAAACCCTAAACCCCCTAAAACCCTAAACCAGTCATTCGAATGCTCAAAGCTTCCTCGCTTGCGGGCATAGATCCTTAGCCATGCGAGAGGGAAACAAAACCCTAAAACCCTAAAACCCTAAACCCTAAACCCTAAAACCCTAAACCCTAAACCCTAAAGCCCTAAAACCCTAAAGCCCTAAGCCGAGGGGACTCCTGCAGAGCCTCGGCTTTTTGTGCCCTTCGGCGAGCCCTGCCTTGACCACAAAGGCCTCAACGGTAAACTCCGAGCCAGAAGTTCTTTAGGGGTTTAGGGTTTTAGGGTTTCAGGGTTTAGGGCTGAGGGTTTGGGGCCGTGTCCTGAATAAAACGATTCAAACTGAAGCCCGAAAGCCTGAACCCCGAATTTCTGTATGGAAACGCGGCTTGCCTTTGCAGGCTCAGCAAGAGGAGCGTTCCCCGACACTTATCCTGCACATGGGTACTGTAGCCCTTCATATGATGGTTGCGCTAATAGTCGTCAGACTAAGACGAGCATACTGTTTTCGAAGGGCCCGGCTTGTTGCTTCTTCCACAGGTTCAGCCACGGTTATAACTGAGGGCCCTGGCGCTAAAGCACAGGTCGTTTCGGTGCCGTTCTTCTAGTTGCCACGGCAGCTTTCTAGTATATACGTCTATAGGCGTCAAGTCGGTTTGGATCGCGTTGACCGGAGCACGCATCCCACATGACCCTGTCGACTTGAATTCTGTTCCGGCCACGACCAGTCGCACAGTGTGCCTCGGGTGGAACAAGCTTTGTGTAACTGATTCAAGGCTGTTGACCTGGTTGCCGGGACTTTCAGAGGTGTCCAGGCCTTTCATGAGCCCCTTCCATCGGCTCCACAAAACGTAGAGGACGAAAGGGAGCAGCACACCTGAAAACTAAACCCTCTAAACCCCAAAATACCCAACAAAAATCCTAAATCCTAGCTCTGACCCCCAAACTTTTCAAAATGCCAGGTTATGACCCCTGAACGAAGCGGTAGAACCCTTCAAAAGGTAGGGTCTTTGGATCCCTAAACCCGAAACCCCAGGAAGTTGTGAGTGCCGAAACCCCAGGTAAGACCGAATCCGCCAGAGGTTGATTTCGGATCCCCTGGCTTGCCCCTTTCTCGAAGCCTTCGGGCCTGCTCCGGAGGAGCCTGAGGCGTGCGGCGTATTAGGGTTTTTTGGGTTTAGGGTTTACTACTTGATCAGTTACGAATACCGCTCCTTTTATGGTTTCCTATGATAAGTATTGCAGTAAAGCTTCGAAAAGCCCATTCAAACGATTAAGGCCCCGACTGCAGTGGTGCATTAGGTCTAAGTTTGTTAAAGCGGTGTAGGGTGTCTCGATGACTTAAAGGGGGTTAGTTGGGCTTTGGATGCTGTCTCCACTCAGTAACAGTTAGAAGAAGATTAAAGAATAATATATATATATACATATACACATATAATGGTATATACGGTATATACGGCCTTGAATAGGTAGCCTTGTTCTAGACTGCTACTGCATGCGGGGCAGTACCCAAAATCAGGTCTCGGAACTGGTGTTGCAATCAGGATTTCCGGACTGCCGAGATTCGGCATCGGTTCAGCTCTTTTGAGGCTCTCTTAAACCCTGGAGACCAGGGTTTAGGGTTCAGGGGTTTAGGGTTTAGGGTCAGCGAATCTTAGTATGAGTGGCTTTGAGTGAGACCCGAAAGCAGTATGAGAATCGAGAAACCCGACGTGCAGCTTGGATCCTAAAGCCGTGCCAGCAGACCGACATCCGGTAAGTCCTCAGTTAAAAAATGCGAATTCTGCACATCTGGCAAAAAAGTAGGCTTTAATTCAACAGAAAAGGAGTCTGACGTGAACAATGCCAACACTACTCCTTAGGCATCCTTTCAAATTCTAGTGAAGCAAAATACATCATATACCCAAACCCTGTTATAATTGTGAAGGCCCCTATCCCACACCCCGGAAATCATGCCCGACGCTTCTGCACAATAGCCCCAAGCACCGAAAAGCGTCCAAGATCCAACAAACCACCTGGAGGACTTTGATCACAGGCTCCCAATCCCAAGAGCTGCATCTCAAGCCCTATATAAGGATCCGGGGCCACAGCATCCTGTTTCAATAGGGTTTAAGGGTTTTTAGCACAAGTTAAAGCAAGGGTCCGCAGTCGGATAGTGTGTTATTACGCCCCTTCTTTTTTGAATTTGATAATTGATCTTTTTTGGGGTTCAGAAGCCCCCCTAAACCCTGAACTCCTGGATTGCTAAGTAGGAGCGGAAAAAATCTAGATGTGCCAAGCCAGGAAATTCAGCGTGCCCGCGTGGTTCATGATGCCTTCCTCGACAGACTGCTCTTGGATGCAGTGTCAAGGCCTTCATGTTTAGTGCTCCAGGCGTTTCAGGGCTGAGAGTTTACGGTTTAGGGCTTGGGTTTCCCAGCTGGCTGATTGGCAGAGTCTGGCCTGGGTTCAAAAAAAGGGCTTGGGTTTCAGTGCTCCAGTCTTCTCAGGGCTTTCATTATGTGCCTTTGCAACACCACAACCATCTCGCGTACCGCGGCAAAAGAAACTTACCTGAGCTTTACAGAGAATACCGAACTCTGAACAAACAACCATCAGATGAAAGCATCCTGATTATCAGGACCCACCAGGAAGGGATCCCCACTTCAGCCTTTATGCTACCTTGATTCAGATCATTCAAGGGGTCTTTTTGCGGTCCTGATTCAATCAGCCCTCCACCCTCAAACCAAACCGTACTAGATTGATGCTCCCAGAGACTCCAAAACCAATTAATCAAGGAATATACCCTTAAACTATAATAAGAACCCTAATAAGATTTAGGATATATAGTCCTTAATTAAGGGGTTTTGGAGTCTCTGGGGTTATTCAGAACCCAAGACTGTAGGCCCAGCTTCTCAGTACCCGTGCGCCAAGAAAAGGCGTAGATGGTTGAACTGCTGGAGCCTCCGGGAAGACGACCAGCAGACGTCGAGCAATTCAGAAAGTCGGAAGTTTAGGGTTTTATAGGGTTTAGAGGTTTAGGAGTTTAGGGGTTTAGGGGTTTAGGGGTTTAGGGGTTTAGGGTTTAGGGGTTTAGGGGTTTAGGGATTTAGGGTTTAGGGATTATAAGGTTTAGGGCCTTTAGGTTGAAGGGTTTGGGGCAACCTTGAGCCCATAGAGCTCCAGGCCCATACTTCGCCCTCCCACGCCAATCCAAAGGGCTCCATGTGCCCGTATAGTATATACTTAGGCCTTAAAGGGGTTCCTATATAGGTACTTTAGGGTCTAAGTATATAGTATATGAGCACATGGAGCCTTAGGGAATGCTCCTCCCAAGCCAGGAGGGTGCGTCAGACGTTGCTTCTGGGCTCCGGCTTAGACGCCCGGCCGGCGGCTGTGTCTCCCGTGTTTAGTTTGGAGGTTTTTTCTTTCGGAATCTGAAGAATGCATCATCGCGCTTGGAGAAGAATGTGTAGTTTCGCGGGGTGGGTAGGGCTGTCTGCATGGATACGAAAAGGTCATGAATAGGAAGATCTGGAAAGAGCTGAACATGGTCAGAGATTACAAAAATTTGAATGCAAAGCTTTGAGGTTTCAGGGGTTTTCAACGTGTAATGTGCATAGGATGTGCGGCCAAGTATCCATAACATGGGCCCCAGTGTTTCTCTCATGCTCTAGCATCGTTCCTGGCTGCACGAAGTGCAACCGCCTTCAGGAAGGCTCATGATGACAATCAGACTTCATCTGAGGCCCACCGCCCCTTCTGAACTTGTCTCGGGATGCTCGCGGCCCCTACGAAGCCCTGAACCCCTTAGAGCCCCGCACACGTTTGCGGCCAACTGCTCTGAGGATGTTCGCGCTTTTCGACTGCAGCTGCCGCCGCAACTTAAGGCAGCATATGTGCGTGTTCAGGGTTGTCTGGCACTGCCCAAACTTCCTTATTCTAACTACCATGCTTTTGGTACTACTGTTCTCAGTTGTTACCCCTGCACTGTTTACGTAGTTATTGCTCCTTTCGGACTTCGAAACAGCAAGTAGAAGTTATAGCCCCAAGCCCTAAATTCCAAACCCTAAATTCAAGCATGCTTATTGCTCTAATCAAAAGTCCGGCATTGTGGGCATTTGGGGCTGCTCGAGGCTGCAGGGGTTTGAGAGGCAGGCTTCCGGAGGCTGTACTGGGACGAACTGTAAGGTTTACGGTGAAACTATGGGTCTGTGGGTTTGGAAGTTTCAGCTCTATCAGTTCACAGTATGTAGGGTTTAGGGCCCATGGAGCTATAGCATATTGCTTGGCGGGTTGAAGGTTGGTGGTGTTGGCGTCAGCTTGTGGCACGCAGCTTGAATCCTCAAGCTTGCCTACGCTGAAACACAGAGGTCTGCATGATTAGCAACCGTCCTCTTCATAAGCCCCAAACCGCAACAGCCAATGTACGAATCAGGGGTCCGGTTTTCCCCCTAGGCCTGAGCCATAACCTAAACCGTTGCGGCATACTTCAAGATGCATCGTAAGGGTTTTAGCAACCCTAAATCCTAAACCCTAAACCCCTAAACCTTAAACCCCAAACCGTGAAGCATCTCCAAGTCGTTTCAAGCCTTGTCCCTCCCTGCACCGATCTTGTGATCTTGCTGGGCAAAGGAAGCTTGTCGACTGCGATGCAGCCAAGCCTTTGGATCCAACTATTGAGGGTTTAGGGTTTATAGGGTTGCTAATGCTAACTATGATCTAAGAACCTAACTGTCTCAGTTTGGTTGTCAGTCCAAGGTTTTGCTTCGGCTGAAAAGCTGGCTTTAGACCCTTTAGGAAGTCTTGCCCTCGAAGCCCTTTTTGATACTCCAACTTTCAACCTCAGGGCCTCCACGAGGACTTTACTCACAAGTCACAAGCCTTATACCCATAGGCCCCTAAGTAATTCCTTTTTGGGGGATTACCTTATAGGATTCTAAATGTAAACCATGGGTAAACCCTAATTTCCCATGGGCCAAGAGACCAAAAGGTCATCGAGGTGGATGAGACGAACGTCCACGAGGCGCCGCAGTGGTGATTGTGGTTGGAAGCCGGATACATGCGTAGTCTCCTCTGTAGGATGTAGGGAATCTCGCTGCGACACCACTTTCCAGGCCGGATTCCGGCACCATGAGACACCATTTGAACAGGTTGCTGTTAAGGGTAAGAGGTTTGAAGAGTGTTGGCTCTGGGGCTTCGGAAATTTCCAGTTTGGTGCCATGGGACTTAAGATCGTCAAGCCTACGAGAGGAAAAAGAATTGATGTAGCGATCTTAATATCCAGAAGTAGCTTTATCGGAGCCCGTGCAAGGCCAAAGTATGTCTTTTTAGAGGTACCGAGGGCTGCAGGAAAACTACTTGACAACATTGGAGATCCTAGTAGGCCATCAAGTTGGACTCCAATACTTGCCAGGCCCAACCCTCCATTAACCTTTATAAACAAGACTCTCTGTTCTGGGACCTATAGACCAACAGCAAATGTCTTCAATCCTAAACTTGAAGTATAAGAGTCTCGGGCAAGCTGTATCCATCTGAAGCCGTTGTCGCACACGATCCTTATCATCCTTTGAAAGCTTTTCAAAACCCGTAGGTGTTTTTCGAAAACCCCAACTATTCAGATAACAGCCGTTCAACAGCCTTGAAGCCCCCAGCCGCAAACCAAAAAAAAACCCTAACCTCCTCTCAACCCTAAACTCTCTCTCACTCTCTCTCTCTCTCACTCACTCTCTCTCTCTCTCTCTCTCTCTCTTTCTCTAAGCCCTAAGGCAAAGAGCTTGGTGCTTGAAAGCCTGGGTGCGCGCCCCCGGGCCGCCCTTCGGCGCCTGGCCTCGGCGGATGCTGCAGCCGGGCAGCAGCGAAAAAAAAAAGGGTTTTTCAATGAGGGTTTAGTGGATTAGGGCCTGATTAGGGTTTGGGGTTTAGGGTTTGGGGTTTAGTGTTTAGGGTTTGGTGGATTAGGGCCTGGAAAATTGCAATAGGGTCGTTGGGGTAGGCTGTTTGAGGGTTATACAATTGAGGTCGAAACCCTTCATAAAGCTTTATCAGCTTTTGGACCCGAACACAGGGGCCCGTGATTCCTTCCTAGAGCCCTGTCCAAAAATCTCCACGTCAAAATTGAGTAGCAGTATTTGTATTTGTGGAATTTGGTTGTTCTTGTTGCTGACTCTGCTTAGGTACTACTACCATAGGAGGCTAGTGTGGAGTTCATGGTTTCTCGAAGGCTCCTAGAAGTAGGGCGACAGGTACCTTGACCTCCTCCACCCCCCTAAACCCTGAACCCTATAAACCCTACAAACCCTAAACCCTATACCCTAAACCTTAAACCCAAGCCAAAACTCTGGAATACCCTACTACACGGGGACTCCAAATGCAGGACCCAGTGTCTGATCTTGAGCCATATGATCTGAAGATAGGGTGAACCCCCCCGAATCTAAAGCCCAAGCCCTAAGCCCCATAAGGGAACAACCCCATGAGGACCCCACGAAGCCGTGCTTCTTCATCATCCTCATCCCGCCGGCGGAGGCGATCACGGCCATCCCTCTTCTTGCGGAGACACACGGCTACAGCAACAGGCAGAAATCACGATCTGGTCTGATTAACGTGAAGGGTTCAGGTTTCGGGGCTAGTTTAGGATTTGGGAGTTAAGGAAGGGGGCTTATATGCCTTATAGCTCCGCTAGAGCTCCAGAATCTTTGCATACGTCGAAAACACCATTTACCCGCATAAGCCTAGTGTGATCTCTGTCGCTTTATGGAGCCCTAAACCAAACCCCACGGACGATGGACTTAACTCTTTGTTCAGGGCTTCATGCAGATGAAATTTGCTGGCGTAGACTAAAATGCCCCCGAAAGGTTCAAGCTAAGCGCCACAACAGCGCAGTGTGCCAGTCAGTGTCGAAACATGTGAGCTGCAACCGCTCCAGGAGTATGAAAGTTAATATGAGGCTGCCGATGATGTTGGTGATCCTTTTTCTGATGGCGGTGATGCGGATGATCGAAGCATCTGCAATGTTCCAACAATGCTCACACGATGACTCGAGGGATCGCAGCAGAAACTCTACACCTAACCCCTACAGTAAACCGCATAAGGCCAGGAGCGAGTATGAGCGTGCCGTTTTTTCCAGGAAGATCCCTGAATTAAGGGTCTTGTAGTCAGGGAAGATCAAGGCAAGCTGATAAAAGGCAAACTGTTGAAACCCGTATCAAACTTTTCTGGACCTGCTACAAAACCTGAAGCCTTCGCCCTAAGCATTGCAGTATTATTAATTACCCTACTACTACTACTACTACTACTACTCCTGCTGCTGCTGCTGCTGCTGCTGCTGCTGCTTGACAGTGTTATACTCGTGACGACATTTGTTACGTTACAATTCCCATGATCCGAAGTTTCGTCAAATCCAGGATTGCCGGTCAAGGCAGCACCGTGGTGGTGCAAATTCTCCGGTCACCGCATGCAGGCGGATACTGTTTTGAGGTCCTGAGGTTGAGCCGAACAGGGTTTAGGGGTTGAAATTTCAGATTTTTGTGTTTCCGGAGGTCCCGGTCGATGTTTTAAGTATGGTTTCACGATGTGTTTGGTATCTGGACTTTTAAAAGGTGCTTGGGTGTAGGATTGCCTGGTGCAGGGTTGGTTGAAGCTTTGTAAACGCAGTTTATGAGACTGTTGTGATTCTGCGGGTGTTGACCTAACAAACATAGGCCTGGAGATTGGTGCATTTCTGCGATATGCAGCTTGAACTCGAGTTAAACCAACCCCTCTAGCCTAAACCAACATAGCCTGAACAAACAAGGACTGTTGCAGCTCGGGTGGCCCCGTGATGATTATTGAAAGCATCTGCGCACTACGTAGGTTTCGAAGACAGGTATGTCCAGATACATGAACCGCAATTCCCACTTGCTGAGTCACCGCCTCCTGGAATTGTTTATTATGTCAAAAATGAGCCTAGATACAGGTCCCAAAGACAGCAACTCACTACATTTACCCAAAGCCTTTCAGCCTATAGAAGGTGCTTGGCTTCCTAATCCCCTCCCTCAAGACAACCATGATCTTCAAACTGTTCTAGCTTCGTCACCTTGTTCTCCAACACAAGGCAATTGGGCTGGTGATGATGCAGAATACCCTAAACCCTAAACCCTAAAGCCCTAAAGCCCTAAACCCTAAACCCAGTCGAGTGTTTGGCGGCTTCCAGGAACAGGTAGCGGCAGCGTGGATGCCCATGTGTCAGCCGTGATCGCTGCTTTTCAGGCCTGCCTGTGTCTTCGATGGGTCTAGGGTTTAGGGTTTAGGCTTTAGGCCGTGACTAGGAGTTACCTGCAGCAACCACGGGAGAATGAGCAACAGGAGATGCGATTGCAAGGTACGGGCTTGACGCTGTTAGAAGCTCGCCAGGTTCGGGCTCAGACTACTAGGTAGGCCTTTGGGATATTTTTATATGTTCCCTTATTGGGCTTAAGAGGACCCTATTTACTAATACTTTTCAGAGGCTTTAAAGGGCCAACCAGACTATTAAGGTTTCGGGTTTCGATCAGGTTCACCAAGTCCTCTGTTTCGTGCTTTGAGGTCAGGGAACTGCATAACTTGAGCCTTGCGCCCTGAACCCAGAACCTATAGGACTTTAAACCCGCGCCCCCTGAACCCCATTGTGATACTAAGCCCTGCCAGCCCAACGTGAGGTAAACACCCCCACATCCTGAAGCTTTACACTCTAAGCCGTGAAGCCCGAAGAATTACCTATATCCTTCCCTAGGGTTCCTGCACATACTTACGGTTTAATATGCACCCAAGACCCTAGTAGAATTTATCAGCCGGTATAGCTGTGGTATATTTTTGCCCGAAGCCCTATCAGAATTCATCAAGGCCGCCATGTTAACAGCATTATATACTCCAGAACCTCTTAGAACTTATTAAGGCCGCGCTATTGACCCTTGCGAAACCGTAAACCCCAAACCCTAAACCCAAACCCTAAACCGCCTTAGTCAATGCGCTCGTGATCCGACCAGAGAACACTCGCCTAGGCAAGTCCGAGTGTGAGTGCTGAAACCTCCTTAGCCAGGAATCCGGCTGGCAACGTCCCGAGCGCGTTGGGCATGCTGCCCTGCAACGATTCTTCGCAGCTCCTGGGATTTAGGGTTTAGGGCTTGGGGTTTAGGGTTTAGTGCTTAGGGTTTAGGGTTTAGGGTAGTTTTAGTGGTAAGAATAGTAGTAGTAAAGTAATAGTAGTAGTAGTAGTAGTAGTAGTAGTGGTAGTAGTA